CAATAGCCTTTGTTTAGTACTACATTATAAATTCAAATGAAACTTCAAATCAGTTCTACTCTCAACTGAAGATGGTCGTTGAACGACCGAAACATGTCTTATAAGCGAAATATTTAGCAAAATAGGAATTGGTTTTATTCCAAATTTTCTGTTGAAAGCTCAAGGTTTATTTTACTGCAGTTTAAATACAAAATTCTTTATTTTTAAAAAAGAAGTTACGCTCAAGAATGGCACTTTTTTTTGGTTGCATTTCCCCCTCAGACAGTGAAGCGAATCGTGACGGCGCTGATGCCGAGTCTCCTTTTCCGTTGTTTTTCTCTTTTTCTGCCTCATTTAAGAACTCTAGCCCAAGAGAAAAGGTCGGAAAATTGTCTTCGTTTTGGGACTGGTGGGCCGAGTCTCTGTTTGTATCTATTATTGTCGCGAAATATATCATTTTCCCCCGCGCTAACAATGGTCGCTCGCGCGAAAAAAAAAAATTCTGACGAAGCGATTTGCTCACGCTATTAGCATGCACTATCGGGATTTTGAGCACGCTTACGTATACTGAATTTGATTGCGCAGCTCTGATAGGTATGTTATGATTCAATTTGGTTATGGCCTTTAGAGCTATAACGCATGAAATTTTAGTGGGTCTAGTACAAAAAAGGCTTTTTTTATGTTTATTATTATTTTATAGAACATTAGAAGCAAATTTACACAACCCACATATAGCATTAGCTAGTCTTGGCGGGTATTAGTAACAAATAAGTAAATACCACACATTTCAAGATAAAGAAATGTCATTATTACAATAAACTAAAGAGATTTTACAATAAACTAAAGAGATTTCATTACTACAATATTATTGGGGTTATAAGCCATGCATTAGTTTACTACATTATAAGCTAAAAGATATGTACAGTTGTCATGCAAATTAAATACAATAAAATTACTAGTGAGTTAAAACAAGACATAATAATCAAATACAGGCGGAGCAGACTGGAAAGTAGAGAGGAGAGAATTGTGATATACGGATGTGAGCGAAGTACTACAGTTATAATATTCAATAATCACTGGTATTGAATTTCAATATTAGTGAATGGGCGTCAACATAACAATCCTCAATCCCAAGTATAGCCTGTCAAAAGCAACTTATGAATTTTCCTTTTAAATGCTCTTTTCGTGAGCTTACGCAAGTCAGGGTTTAGACAGTTCCATAACCTCGTACCAAACGCAGAGAAAGACTTAAATTTCACAAGCAATCTAGATTTCTGTACATAAAAATTCTCTGTGGAAGAGAATCGCGTGTTATATGTATGGACGTCAGATGAATTAATACTGAAAAAGTTCGCGAATATTCCTAGGTGTGGAGCTAGTAGAAACGTCATGCATTATGGCAGAAATGGTTTCAAAATAGAGCATATTAATGGTTAGGATACTCGAAGGTATAAAAAGAGGGATAGCATGAGATATTTTGCTGGAGAAGAAAATCAATCGGAGTGCACGCTTTTGTAAGAACATCAAAACAATAAGTAACTTACGGAATGAAGTCTAAATAAATTTTTCAGATATCAGTGTATGGAGCATACTCGGAGATTGGTTTCAGCTTCAAGAGCTAAGACATTCATTTTGAAAGTTTTTACTTAATTATTAATAAAAGTTCAGACCATTAAACATATCAGAGATCTCAAAAAAAAAAAAACTATAGATGATATAAAGTATTTATGATTGAAGCATGATGAATTTGTTTATTGCCTCGATAGCTTACAAGTTTGAAATTTGGGCTGCACGATTCCTAGTTAATATAAATCACTCCTAATTTAGTTATTTGAGTTATCATCCAATCAAAAAGAGAAGTCGCGAACAGCTCAGGAAATAATTATATTTGGAGCATACTCTTCGAGTTTGATTTTGGCCCTGAGAACTAAGATACTAATTCCAAGGTTATTTATTGAATGAGGCAAATAGTTTTGATTTCCTACAAATTAAGGTATCAGACCATTAAACGTATCTGAGACCTACAAAACTCAAAAAAATTGAGAAGTATTCAAGCCTAGGGCATGACGAGTTTGTTTCAGCCTAAAGAGCCATCAAATTTAACAAAGAGGCCACAAGGTTCTTTTTGAATTGAGGAAATCAATTCTAATTACCTCAGAAAATGTGATGAGAGTTTTTGAACCACACTGTTGGAATGTGGTCTTAGCATCAAGAGCTGCAATGCTCTTTCCGTGGCTTTTTTAGAATGTGCTATTTGTCAAGGAAAAAATAATTTAGACCACAAAACTTTAATTTGGACATATGATTTGGACTATTAAAAAAAATAAAGAAATTTGTGTTTGGAACATTTCGAATTTGGCTTTTTGCCTCAAGTAGCTAAATAAATTGCCATCAGCCTTCAAAGTGATATTTAATGAATTGAGTAAAAAAGAATTGTAGTGGCTATTTGAGAAATATCAATGTTCGCATTGTGAACTTTCACACTTTCCTACACTTAACAATTTATTCTTAAGAAAAGTGCGCGTAGTTCAATTCGCTAAAAAAGTAAATAACTGACCTTATTAGAAGTATCCTGTTTTTTCTTTCCACCTTGAATTTCTTGATTTTAAGACTTTGTCAGTGTATGTTTGACTAAGGACAGAAAGAAAATGTAATGCGAGTACATACATAGTTGACCTGTACTAAAGAAAGTACGTCTTTACTTGTGTTAAAAAAATTAATATCTCCACCGAAAAACTCAGAGCCACCTCATTTTATTTTTGACAATTTACATCTTGTTTGAACAAAAGTAACAGGAGATTTCATTGCAATGACTAGCTGAATACTTTAAGACAAAAAAAATCAGGGATTACCCAGCCTACCTTGCGTGGCTAACCTTCGATATTTTAAAAAGAATGGGTTAAGAATTCTGCGCAACCTCAAACTTGATTGTGTATAATGAAAACAAAGGAATAACCACTAGATTGCCTATAGAACCACGGCATTGTTTCAGAGCGTTCTGACGCTATACAGAAATCGTTCCAAAAGGGGTTTACGTTAAAACGTTTCCAAAGGCTACCCTTTTTTTCCTGGCATGGGGCTGGCAATAAGACACTGTGAGTATGCATACTTGTATAAACTATTTCCACAAGTTCAGAAACAAAGGAGATGTGAAAGTAATTACGCGATCAGTACAGTAAAAGTAAAGTATGAATTTCTAGTTGCTGCACGCGAAGTCACGTGGTTAGAAAAACTGTCATGGCTGCTGCCAACAATGACGATTTGTATTACAATGTAAAGTACGTTTTTTGCCTTTCCTTTATACATAAAACTCTGTCGTTCAGGAGCAGAACCCAGCACGGCGGTGAAACAATTACGCTACATTCAGTCTATCAAAATTATATTTGTACGTAAGTTATTTACCTTGAGGAGATTTGTGACAAAATGACAGCCATTGATCCTCAACGTGAAATGGAAACACTCAATTCGTCAGCCTCGAAGAAGGACATACCAGAGTTAATAGAGGGAACTCTGCACGTACCAACCATGAAAGGAAGAACGATATCCAAAATAATAACATTAGAATGGTGTATTACGTGACCTGGCCCCATAAAAGCTGCAGAAGACGTTGAAATTTCTGGAAGCTCGTAAGTTCTTTCCACGTGCAAGTTAGGACTGCTCGCAAACATGAATATTAATGTACTACATTATTTGTAATTCAATGAGTTTCTCAAAATTGAAAGGCGACCGAAAGCCATTGAAAATTTTTTTTCGGTAAGTTTCGTTCGAAATAAGATAATCTGTAGTAGTTTGTTTCTAATTGGCCTTAGGTTTGTAAAATCCAAAAGAAAGGTGCACATATGGTCGTGCTTGAAAACAGCTCGCGCTAGAATGTTGAACTCCAGTAACATTTTTGGCCCCTTGAAGAACACTTCTTGTGAGCGAACAACTCGATCTGTTTTAGTTTGTCTCGGCATTTCGCGTTAGCGACGTTCTACTTTACTTAAAATTTGCACCCGTGGCGGGGTAAAACGTTACAGTCGCATTAAGAGTTATATTTGACTACTTTCGAACCAAATGAAGGCACTTATATTATTCTTTTAAATTTCAGTTCCAATCATCCTTCAGAGTCCTATAGTTGTTCTGACTTGTGGAAAGATGTTGCTCCACCCTTATACCCTTCCTAATGTTAACTTGTTCCCAGGCCCCTATCCTGGTAAGGAAGCGCGAGGGAAAGGAGAAGATGCCAGGGATTGGTTGAGTCATTCCTTGAAGATGTCTGTACAGTATATTTTGAAACCTATTTAGAAGCAACGAGATTAATTCAGTGGCCTGTTTAGTTAAACATTTGCGCAGTTAGACACAGCTATCGCAAAGGCAAAGGTTAATATCTTAGGATGTGCTAGTCTGGGTTTATTTTCAGTGTGGGAACTAATTTTAAGCAGATTGGCAAAGTTCTTAACTTAAAATGTTTATCGTACACGTTTGACGAAGGGGTCGAAGAGGAGATAAAGAGAAGCGCACAAATCACTCGTTCATGATAGAAGTAAAGGTTTTCGTATTGCGGTTTTCATGATGAACGTAGCTGAATTCGCGAGTTTGTTTTTCTGTTGGTATTCATTGGTTTTGGCTGCTTTCTCGTTCCCTGGAAGGGTAGCACGCCATTTAGGCAGGAACAAGAATGTGCACTGCAATCAATTTGATCAGATCTCCTACACGTCATGTCGCATTTTAATAATAATAATAATAATAAAAAAAATCAGTGTAATATTTCAATGACCAAAAAAATCTTCACCCTTCACAGCTCTATCTTCGTGTTAACCAAAATCCAGTAACACTGATTCAACTCTTTAACTTCCAGGAGCAATGAACTTATACATTTCCCTGTTGTATCCATACATAATCCAGCAAATAGGTAATGATTTTACTGTAACTCGCCAGATAGAAGTTTTTATCTTGATTAACACCAAATTCTCACAAGTGTTTTACAAAAAATGTTTAGAAGCTAGAGGGGAGAATTCACAATCAGCAACAAGAAAGAATTTTTTTCATTGAAAGTCTTTATTGTCAGTCAATTTCCACCACATTTTTCAAGCAACGGTAAGCAATCCCTGATATGTTCAATTCTATTATTTGTTTAATACTTCCAACATGCTTTTTATTCAAATTAACACCGAAGCGTTATCGAAAACTCTGGGATTCTACGAAAAAGAAAACCAAGACAAACTTCTCAAAATATGTTTAACTCAGCTCAACTTAAACACATGCATTTCCTACCTTTACCATAATTATAATTACTATTTAAAAATTCGAGATTAATTTGCACTTCATCAGTCATTTAAGCTTTTTTTTTTCAGAATTTCTTTTTTTTCTAAGTCTTGGAAACGTCGTTGCGACCCCTACACCATGTTAGAACTAACTCAAACAAAATTCACCAAAAATCAGATTTTTCGTGCTGATCTACTTTTGAAGTGTCGTGCCCCAATAAGAACATGAAGCTGTGCTGTGTTATCAGCTTAACATATGATATGTTTAACAGTGGCTTTTGAGAAAGATCTCTGTCATGGCAACCACTGGCGCACCAGTAGGGACTTGTGGGAATGATCCACTTGATCCAGCTATGTCAAAGTGTGAGTAGCAAAGTGGGCGCTCTGAGTCAATACCATGCTGAGAGAAACAAAAACAAGAATAAATTTAACAATTAGATTTCATGATGCCGTGCGTCTCTTCAGCAATAGATCACAGATGACGTCAAAATGAGGTACGAAGAAAAAAAAAAGTGGAACACGAGGCGCAGCAGTGTGCAGTGGCGGATCTAGACCTTAAGCTAAGGGGGGGACTCGGATTTTTTTTTTTGTGTGTGTGTGTGTGCACCTACCGGCTTTCTTCCTTCTGCGTTTATTTTTCACCCGAAATAAGGGGGGGGGGGAAGGCGGGCTTTCCGAGCCCCTCCCCTAGATCTGCCACTGGTATATGCCACTGATGTTCTTGCCAACTGATACATGGTAACATGGAATATATTTGTGATATAATAAAGAAGCAAAGGGTTGTTTATTTGTTAATTATCTGTGCGTCAGTCCTCTAATGGATGATCGGAGAGACCTGATTAGAGACCTGATCAAATTAACTGTTCGATGTTTCAAACAAAAAAGTGAGAAATCTTCACATTCATCCAATCGATGCACGATTAGCAACAGCGCACAAAACTGAAGTGAAGTTCTGAAGAACTAGCGCAGAAAGGAAACATCCTTCTTTCACAAAGTAACATTCAAATTAACCTTATCAAGTCCTGAGGCTCTGATGAGGAAAGCAGCTGGGAACTGATGTCCTCTGGGTGTTCTACTGGATGGAGAGTTATTACACTGCAATACCTCTGCATACTCTGAATGGG